CTTGACCTGAAGGGCATGGTCCCTCCCAAGGAAAAAAGCTGTTGCCAAGCACGTCCTACTCTGTGGTTGGGTTTACAGTCCTGTCCCTGTAGTCTTGTTAGGAAAATCCCTTGTTTAACATCTCCCTCTGAGTGAAACTGGTCACCCAAAAGGAAGCCTGAGTGTGGGAGCATTTTCCCACAAGGATGGATGTCACCCCTGGCCTTGCATTGGGTGGAGGTGTGAGGCAAAGCAGCTGTCCTTGGGTCTCCTCCAGGGATGGAGAACTTAACCTAGGCTTAATGCTCTCCAGGCTTAATTTGGTCCCTCGTTGGAGGTATTTAAAATGACACCCAGCAGTAAAGTTTCCCTGCAAAGATGCTTGATGCTTTGGGGTAGTGTTTTCTCAACTTTGCATGCAAATATACCTTGGATTTTGATGTTGGATGTATTTAAAATGACACCCAGCAGTCAAGTTTCCCTGCAAGGATGCTTGATGCCTTGGGGTAGTGTTTTCTCAACCTTGCATGCAAATATACCTTGGATTTTGATTCAAAAGCATTATCCATGAGCATCTGACTTTAGATGCTGGATCAAACTTTCCCTGATTTCTGGTCTTCTAAAATCCTGAATTGTGCTGGGTGTCTGTAATGAAATATAGCCAGATGGTCTCTCAAAGAGCAGAGTGTGGCTGAGGGGAGAGCAAAGCCAAATATTCCAGCCATGGCAAAACACACCCCCTGCTTGTTGAGTGCATGGCAGCTCTTTAGCTTCAGAGCAGCACAGTCAAACCCCTTTGTGCTGTGTTCTTCATGGTACAGACTGGTGTAGCACGTCAGCCAGTGCTGGGGCATGGTCTGTGGCTGAGTGGTGGGTCTGGGTGAAGATCTGGTGAAGATCTCCAGGTCTTCTGCAGGGTGATTGGGAAAGGCAGCAAGTGGGCAGAGATTTTTGGGAAGACTGAGTTAGCAGGGGTAAGTTTGATGGTGAGGCTGAGGAAGGTCTGTTGAAGCAGCAGAACAGCTGAGCAGAAGTGGGCCATACAAGGGGAGACCTTGTGTTTGTGCAGTGCAGTGGCCTCTGTTTGGGAAGGAGGATGCTCTCTACCTGCACACAGAATGGAGGTTGTTAGGGATCCACTTTGAACTGGAGTTTTAGGTTAATATCCTGTGTAGAGCACGAATTTCTGTCCAGATTTGATCGTTATTTACTTTTTCCCCATCCTTTCCCCCTCAACCTTCTATTTTCCCTGCTGTAGGAGCTGGTCATCATGGGGGCACCAGGATCCTACTATTGGACAGGAACTGTCAAAGTGCTGAATCTGACTGACAACACCTATTACAAGCTGAACGATGACGCTGTGATAGCCAGGAGGTACACGTACCTTGGTAAGCAGCTCCTGGGTGCTCTCTGTGAGAAAGGATCAGTCTAACAACACATTGCAGGGCTTTGATGTTCAAAAATTGATGCTGACTTTTTTATTTTTGGTGGTGTAGAGTATTTTTATGAAAAGTGGTGAAAGGAAGAACGTCTGAATTAAAAGGTTACCTGCCTGGAAAGAAACATAAGCAAAGAAGCAGCCAGAATATTCCGGTTTTGTTTGCTTGTTTTAAATCAACATGCTGTAATTTTTTTATCTAACAGAGAAAATACATTTTGACTGAAAAGCATGTTAGATGGTAGTGGACCTCCTATGTTCCTGCTTTTGCCTTTCCATGGGCAAACAGTCAGTAGTTTGATGTTGTTTGACCAAAGACTCCCAGTGACCTCTCTTTTTCCTCTTAACCTTTTGTCTTTTCAAAAATACCACTTGGAATACGCTGCTTGGTGATAGCTAAATGAGGAGTGTATACATACATATTTAAGGACATAAATAGGTTTTGCTACTGGTAGACCTGAATTATAGTGTTTACCATGTAGACAAGAGCCTCCTGATTTACAGCAGAAGAGCAAGGCAAATACGAGACAGCCTTAGAAGGAAAGCACTTGACTCTTCTTTAGTTACTATATATCATTTTAATGTATCAAATAAGACTGAAGCTTTGATCTCCTCCTTTCAAATACACTCCTCCTTTCTTTGATCTATCCCCCCATTTTTCTTCTTGCCTAAACAAAAATCTCTTTAAGCCATTAACTTCTCTGACCTCTTTGCCTACTGTCAAACCTCTACCAAAAAGGCATATAGTTTTCCAAGCCTTTCTGGGCAGTGATTTTAGCCAAAGGAGGACACTTCTGTCTGGTGGATGTGGGACTGCTTCTCTTTCTCTGTGGTGATGTGGTCTTTGCTGTGTGTGTGCCTGTTCCTGTTTCACTGCTTCCCTTTCTGGACTCGTGGTTACTGAACTGCCCCCTGTACCTGGTTCAGGTGACCTCTTTTTTTCTCTCAGCTTTTGGAAGAGTACTTCCAAAGAGTATTGTCCCTTCCCACCTCCATGAGCTTTTGAGTGGAATATTGGTGCATCCTGAGCAGAATGGTTGTTGGGTGCTAACAAGGTGCAGCCCAGGAGGAGCAGTGGAACCCGATGAGTGGGATCCAGCTGGCTGACCTGTTTCTCAGGCTCTTCCCTTCCACGATTAAATACCCTAATTAAATAAATAACTTTTATTTATTTGTGTCCCCTCTCCACAGGATATGCAGTGACAGCAGGTCATTTCTCTCAGCCAACTACCACGGATGTTGTAGGAGGAGCTCCCCAGGATGGAGGCATCGGAAAGGTGCGGCTTTTTTGTCAAACAATGATGTGGTCAGATGCACCAGGGCAAAAAAAGGGACACTCATGCAGTTCCCATGTGTCTGAGAAGCCAAGAGATTTTTGCCTACGGGGTGGTTTTGGAGCACTGAGCAGGGGAGAGGTGAGGTAGCTTGATGAAATCATCAGATCTTCTCAACCTCTCTCTCGTGGTGCCTCCCACCCCTCACCCCTCTCTTTCCTCTCTCTCCCACCCAATCCTTACAACAGTTGTTTTACAAGACACTGGCAACATTCCTTTCACACTGCTTTTATTCAGGATTCATAACACAGAGGTGTGACTTAAACCTTGCCTGGAAATGAAAAACTTGGAAAAGAGGGTTTATCTTGTCTTCTGCTTGTTTTTTTTTTTTCATCTGTTTGACTGTTTCAATATTTACTTCAGGGTAGAATCTCTAATAGCATAAAAAGCTATTTCCTGGGTGATTTGATGTCCCTCTTAAAGCTTCATAATAAGCTGATGTTTAGTGGATTGGAATCTGTGTTTCTGCCATCTGTACTTAGAAATCTTTGTGATAGTCTCCCGAGAAGGAAAAGAAATGTTTTTCCTATAGATGTACATATGTCTGATGCCCCAAAGATGTAAACAAGAGGTGGAAGTGGCTGGTGAGTTAGGTGTGCCTGGCCTGGCTGCTACTGTGGGAGCCAGTTGAGGGTGACCAGTGTGACCCTTACACACTTCTGAACCAAAGGTGGAGGAGTGGGAGTGGGGAAAGGGAGGGAAGGGATGCAAAGGATCTGCTTTTGTTCCTCTTCCTTCAAAATCCAATCCTTTCTGGACCTGCTGTCCCATGTGCTTGGGCAGAGGTGTCCTACAGCCCCCTTCCACCTTCCTCCCTCTGTCTCTCCTGCTCTGCAGGGACATGAGTTGTAGCTGAGCCATAGCAATAAGGATTGAGAGATCTCTGCTACCAGGAACACTATCCCTTGGTCTAGGTGGGTTATTTTTGGTAATAACCATGTCTCAGAAGGTAGCAGCACAAGTGGGAAAAATGGAATAAAAGTAGAGGATGAACTTGATTCATACCTGATCTGGTGTGGTTAGGACATAGAGGATGCAGCAGTTGCTATGGAGGAGACATGGGTATGGAAAAGACATGGTCCTCTCTTACAGCTTCTCCAATGCACCTTCCTTCCAACCTGTTTTCTCAGGGGAAGAGATTTCATTTCTGTGCAAGGAGGGGGGTGCAAAAACAGCTGGTAAGATGAGAGCCATGAGAAAGCAGCTGGCCCTGGAGTTTAAAGCCTACTGCTCTAGTTGCAAAAGCTCCTGTTACTCTCCCTTGGCATGGGATGTGGGCAGCAGGAACGCATGGCAAGGGGTGGGAGGAGATGTTGAGTACAGGACGTTTTGCTGAGCAGTCCTGCTGTGCTTTCCACACAAGCTACTCCTTTCCACTTCCCTGAGAGAAGGTGATTAGCATTGTCACACCCTTTTTACTGAAGTAAAAGCCAGGATACTTAACGAGGCTGAGGCAAAGTCACCAAGAGAATTAGCCAAGACTGGGTTTGGAGTTGTGACACTTGGCAATGTGCTCTTGCTGCTAGAAGTGCTGCTGCAAAAAGTGAGGAGCAATTGTCCACAGCAAGTCTGTGCTGTGTTCTCAGCTGAAAAGAGCTTTGAACTCTGTCTCACCACCTATTAATAACTCACCACATAATTCAACTACGTCAAGTGCTTGGGTCTGCCACGTGGCCTTGGAATTAGGGAATCCTCTGTCCTACAAACTCTGTGAGCACCTTCTAGGAGGGAGCCTGACTAACACTGGAGGGCTCTCAAAGGCTGACTGAGCCAGTTCCTCTGCCAAAGGGAGTCCCTTTCTCCAAGCCATGCATTTTAGGTCTTAAATTTTGGTACCAGATCTGTTATTAAACTCTTATCAATACTTTGATCCCTGAGAGTTCATGGTGAAGCAGTTTCTCCTCTGGAAATGAGCAGAGTGGACTGTTGGAATAGTTTTCTGATTTACAGATTGTTTCAGGCAGACACAGCACAGATGCCTTGGGTGGTCTGACTGAGGTTTCTGCTCTGACCTCTGCTAAAGCATCGTGAAGTCTGCAGTGCAGTACGTGCAGGCGTGTGTCCTTGAGAAGGGAAGGCTGGAGAAGGGAAGGGGAGCAGGGTTATTCCTTCCCAGCCCTTTTGCCCCACTCGTTTCCAGGCAGTCTCCAAATTCCACTTGTTTTGAGAGTTGGAAAGTTCCAGTACTAGGTGCTTTTTAAATACTCATATGTGCACACATACACACGTGCACCAGAAAAGTAGTTGACAAGGTACAGTTCAAGCTTTTCTCATGATAAGAGGCCTGTGATTCATCAATAAAACAGGGAAATCTGTTTTCTCTTTTAATAGAAGACTGAGCAAGAAAGCAGTTGTGAAATTGGATCTTGGCAATAGCTATGGTGGTGATGATGACTTAGGTATTATTTAGAAAGCATCAATGCTATAACATTATGTGCTTTGTAGTTAGTATTGGTTAACTTTTTTCCTTTTTCACTTTTCAGGTTTATATTTTCAGAACAGACAGACGATCAGGCTCTCTAATAAAGATTTTTCAGGCTTCAGGAAAAAAGGTGAGCTTTTATGTATGTGTGTTTTCTTTTAAGGGGTAACGAAAGCGAAATAAGGGCAGGGTCATCTCAGAGCATCATTTTCATTCCACTGCTTCATGAGTTGGCAAGCAAATTTTGGTGGTTCTTGTTCTCCCAGAAGAGAGAAGTTTATTGGACAGACCAGCTGTATGCCTTTTCTCCTGTAGTAGTCAGGACTGCAGTCTTCTGCTCATGCCCATATGACTGAAATGGAAGGGCTTCCTTCCTGTAAATTGTATTAGTGGTTGTCTTTAGCCTTATGCAACTGTCACAAGAGCTTCTGAGACATGGGACACCAGGCGAGCCTAGACACAGAGATTTCCTCTAAGTAGGTGTTACTGGGAGGCCTGGGATAGTTTGGAGCTTAGTTTAATACACAAACCCCAAATCTGTTTGTCTGTGTCCTGCTGTGACAGGGGATATTAGAGTTATGCTGTTTTGTGGAGGAGCAGCTTTCATTACCCCAAGAGATGATGATTTCTTCCTTCCTACCATGAATCAGTCCTGTGTTTTGCTCTGAGACCTGGTGTCTTAGAGCTGAACTGCCCTTTCTACCCCCCACCCCCCCGAAATTTAGGGAATGCTAATGAGATCCATCTCCCCCTGTGCTGTGTTGTATTTGAGTAGAGAACAGCTTCTGTTCTTCACTGGGGGCTCGCTGGAGATGGTTGCAGGGCAAATGAAGTGGACAGTATCTCTAACTATAGGTAACAACAAAAAGAGGTCTTGTTTGGGAGCAGTGCAGTGAGGAAATGATGCACCTCATGTGGAGTTGCCTGTGTTCTCCTGGAAGGAGAGAAAAGGCAGAAGTAAAAGGTTAGTGGTGGCTTCTGGCTCTGCCACCCTCAGAAGGATCTGAAGTGTTTAACATCAAACATCATTTAACATCTGAAGTGTTTATCATCAAGTTGGGAATGTTAGCCATGTTTTGTTAGTTTTTCCCCAACAAAACAGCCACAGTCTTTAAAAGCATGCCTGGAACAGGAGGAAACTGCAAGGATGTGTAGGTGGATGCTGTGACTTGTATTTTAGGGCCTCTCCAAAATTTGTCTTTTTCTGCACTAGCAGAATGGCAGAGATCTTAAAAGGAAAAGACCTCCCAGTTCATCCAGGGCATCTCCTGTGTTTGATTGCTTCCTGTTCATTTCTTTCCTTGTTGACTTTTAAACGTCCCTAAGGATGTGCTCTGGAGAACTCTTCCTCAGCCTAATAAACAGAGCTATCAAGGAGTTTCCAGGTCTCAGCCAGAAACTTTCCATTTTCAGTTTAATTGCTTTATTTTTATATGCAACTCAGCTAATCAAGTATTTACATCCTTCAAGGACTTCTAGGCTGTTGTCTGTCTCCTCCTTCCCCATTAGCATCTGTCTTCTACAAGTTCTCTAAAATCCAAGTGAGAATTTTATTTTAAAGGGAAGCCTGTGCTAAATCACCTTTCCTTTGTTTTGTGATTGGAATATAACCAGTGCTCAGCAACAAGCACTGCCTGGAAGTGAGCTCTCACAAAATGCTGCATCCTTCCCAGTGGTGTGAAAGTTCATTGCTCAGACATTCTTGTTAGACAGATGTTAAAAGCAGGCCAGTTTCTTCTTTCCCTTTTTTATTGCTGGAGGCAGACCTAGGAAATCAAATGCAGACAAGAAAAAGGAAAATGCAGTGCCTTGTTAGAAATGTTAAGTGCACAGACTTCAGGTTCTCACAGCACCATGAACTCACCCACGCTGCAGACATACCATGTTACAGTTAAGTAAATAATAAATTTTGCCTGAAAACTGCCTGAATACATAGTGAAATGCTTTTCATAACTTTCACTCCTTACCCATGAGAAATTTGTTTTAAAAACCTTAGTGGATTAAAAAAACAAAAACAAAACAAACAAAAAAAAACCCCAAATAAAAAAATCCACAAGGGAACTTAAGCTACAAAATAACTGGAATCAAATGATGTTTGAGGTCTGACCTTCAACCCACACAAACACAAAAATCTGAATTACACACTGAAACTCTATCCTCAACTCACCCCACTATATATATTTAGTAGCTTGTAAGTCTTATGGGCTGTGTAGGATGGATCTGCTGCTCAGGAGGTCTGGCTCATGCATCCAAACTGACCAGGCATGGAAGGCTGTGGGTCAGAGATCCACCAGGAGCCATGTAAAAGCACATGAGAAATGGGATCATTCTTTTTAACCTAAATAATTATTCCTGTAACCTCACTTTTTCCTATGTAAACAGCTCTCAGTTTCAAATAAGAACTGGTATCTTTTAATTTTTCCTTTGGAAGTTGCTGTTAAGTTTTAGATTATGGTTTGTAGTTGGTCTTAAAAAGTATGTCTGGTGGTACCTTAGCAGAAGTGGATGAAATAAGGGTGGGATATCATTCTTGCTTTTTTTTTTTCCCCTTTTTGTGTTTAAATATGTTTTGAAATTTGTAATGTTGGTGCTGGTGAGCAGTTCATGTTTACCTTTATCAAAAATGTAATGAAATGAATGTACTTCTTAAATTTAAGCAATTAAGTTTTATCAAGCAGTAATAACTGGAGATTGAAAGTGGCTTAGTTTTTTTTTGTGTATCAGCTGGAAAGCTTTTGTTAAAAGTTGTCTTTCTGTATGAACTCACCTGCCTGGACATGAGAGGTCAACCCCCACACCCAGTACTGCTGTTTGACGGTGACTGATACAAACAGAGCAGGGGGAGGTAGTCCACAATCATGAGGCAATTCTAGGTGCCTCTTTTCATGGATACTTTACCCCTTGACCATTTTTCTTTTTTCTTTTCTATATGTTTTTTAAGGTATCCTCAGAAGATCCATGGTACCCAACAGCAGGTCTCTTTAGGAAGCCTGGCACTGGGCACAATTAATCACTAGTCAGGGCTGGGTTTGGGAAACTGATTTCACCCCTTCCTGATTATGAGCATTTGACAAGTTAAAGCTAGTCTAAGAAGGCTCTTTAAGTGTCTCACTTGAGCATGTCCCAGGGTATAAATTTTGTCCTGTTGGTAAAACATCCAAGCTGATGCACCGTTACAGTAAAGTGTTTCATTCCTGCCAGAACTCTCCCCTAAGCTTTTTCTGTAGGAGTGATAAAGCAGCAAATCATCATTTGAAATGAAAACCCCCTCAAACAAACGCCTAAATGACTTCCTGCTGTGTGTGGGCAGATACTGAATGCTTTGTTGTGACTCGGCTTGGTTGCAGATGGGCTCTTACTTTGGCTCCTCCTTATGTGCAGTTGATCTGAACTCTGACGGGTTGTCAGACCTGCTGGTCGGAGCACCTATGTTTTCTGAGATCAGAGATGAGGGTCAAGTCACAGTCTATATCAACAGAGGAAACGTGAGTATGTGCTGGAGTTGACTTGGTAGAGGCTGAAAGGGTGGGTCTGGGCAGGGTAACGCTCACATCCTTCCAGCACTGCGTGGTGGAACTCAACGTCTCCAATAATGGGGCTCTGGGTGTCTCCAGCAGAGCATGAAGTTATGGAAAACTCATCTGGTATCATGGTTTCCCAGACACCAGCCCACACTCATCACAGAGCTGTGAATCTTTCGAGGAGGTCTCGGAAAGTTTTATGTTGAAACTTGGTGGTATTTGTGGCTTTGCATGGATTTGGTGCCAAACCCAAGGACGAGTCAGCAGCTTTGACTGAGTTTCCTTTGTGTTTTGGGTGGTCAGTAGGACCTGAAACTTAGAACACAAATGTCTGGGGATTTAGGAGACCTTGTGAGGAGAAACCAGAGTTTGAATTCATGTTATCTTTATGTTTTGCCCCATATACAGACTTCAGGGGAAGTTCTTATCAGCTAGTGCTGTTGAATATCACAAAGACCTCACAACAGTCTTGGAAAGCTCTGAACTTTCTTGAATCAGCAAAACAAAATCATTCATATATTGTATTTATAGGAAAACAATGCTTACTAAGGTATTATTAAATATTTAATATTCAGATCCCAAACCTGCTGTCTCAAAGTGGGAGTTGTTATGGACTAAAATGAAATGGATTTGCTTCATCAATATTTTATAAACTTCCTTATGTGAAGTTTGTTTATGCTAGACTTAATACTCACCACAAGTCCTATAGGCAGCCTTTGGGATACTTCAGAATTACTGATTTTATTTGCTATTATCACTCTTCTTTTAAATGAGCTTTACTTTGTCAGTTTGATCCACAGGCTGGCCCACTTCTATTGCAGTGCTGCTGCTGGGTCCTCAAGATGGTTCAGAATGCCAAGCAGATGCTATCTAACCTTTGTTGCTCACAGTGAGAGCATAGATGAATTAATTTTTATCTTTAGTAAAACAGTCAAGAAGCTAGAAGGAATTTATTATACTCTTGCAGCAAGAATGACTTGCAGGAGCAATGCCTTGAAGGACTGTGCCTTTTATTTTGGGGCTTGGATGTTCTAATCTCAGCTTCATTCTGCAAGCACTGTTGCTTAAAAGGCTGTTGGAGCAGGTCAGAGAAAACTGCATTATAACAGAAGGGTGCATAGTGATGCTAGATTTAATACACTTACATTTTGGCCTTCCCTGTGAGGACTGCAAAGAACTGAGCTGCACACCCAGCCCTGCCTGCCTCCTCTCTGTTGTGTTTCAATTTCATTATGTGGGATTTGCTTAAAGTCAGCAACTCCCCGCGGCCAAGAAAAAGATTTTATGACATGTTCCAGAGGGCAGTTTACTCTCATTCACAAAGGAAGCAAAAACAAAACAAAACAACCCTTGAGGTGGGTACAGAGCAGCATTGCGTAACTCGATTTTGTTTTCTTGTGGAAATGTTCCTTTCCCCTTGAGGGAAGACTGCCAGAAACTGAAGCTTATGTATCTGACCAGAAAGTGGGTGGGCAAGAAATACCAAACCCATATAAGGCTTCTCAAGGCATGGGAGTACAAAGCTACTTTATTCTGAACTTTCCTCTGTCTCTTTATTGCATTAAGTCCTTTTCCTTATTCTTCATTTCAGAAGGCTTTTTGGAGGGCTTTGCTTTAATCCTTCTGTCCAGTACTTAAAAAGCTTTCAAATCCAATTGCCCAAATGTTATTTGCTTAGGGGAAAATTCTCTTTAACTCGCTGGGGTTTAGCTGAATAAGCCTGGACTGAGGATTTCACTCCTAGGATGTAATCTGCCAGTAGAGCAAGCTCTGGGCTGTTACATTTTAGGCATCTGGAAACCTTCATGAGCTCACCAAGCCCTGTGACTGCCTGTAGTTGCATCACTGAGTTATCATTCAGTCAGTTTAACATTTTAGTTCTATCACTCATGCGCTCCCATTTTTTAACCCCCCCTTAAAACCAAACAGCAGAAAATGATTAAAAAACCCCCAAATAAATGAGATTTTTGGTGCCTAGGCAATCCACGTGCAGCGAGAGTCAGCGTGCAGCTCTGCCCCAGGTGCTTCCTGCAGGGAGGGCTCAGCTTGCCCAGGGCTCACACCATTTCCCTGACCCTGTTTTGTTTCCTGCTTGCTAGGGAGTGCTGGAAGAGCAGCTCGTCCTGGATGGGGACAGTGCCTACAACGCCCACTTTGGGGAGAGCATGGCTGCCCTCGGCGACATCGATGACGATGGCTTCCCAGGTCGGTTGGGTTTCCTCCAGGACCTTCTCCCTGGGAATGCCAGGGGGGCTGGCAGCACTGCTGCTCTCACCACGTGGCACCCGTCGCTCCTCCAGACCCAACCAGCACCTGGGCTCGTGCTAGGGATAAATGTTCTTGTGCAGGATCCTCCTGCTAGAGCCTTTTGTGGATGGTTTTTCTTATGTATTCAAACCTTTCCAGTTTGGTTGACTTACCATGAAGTGTGATTAAGAAGTAGCTTCTCACAGCTGATAGCATGTCCTCTTAATAATTTCTCTCCTTTGCTTAATTCTACCTTGCCCCCCTTCACAGGCTGCTCAGCATGAGGCCCCATGCTGGCAGATCAATAGGTGAAAGCAAAGTGTTGGGGCTGGCCCCTTTTTTGTCCTGATTTCTGGCAGCACAGATTAGGGACTTCCAAACAAAGACTGACTTAATGTCAGTCTTTAATGCCAGTCAGTGGCCTGGATTTATTCCTTCCAGGCCACTCAGGGCACAGAATCCCATTAAGCCTAATCCAGCCTCATTGCAGGTTGCCCTCACAAATGGTGGGCATGCTCTTCCCCTGACCTTGGTCATGCATTTGTGTGTCCCTGCAGCTGCTTGTGGGTCAGGTGTGGTGCTGGAGAGACTGCAGAGTGAGTTGGATCAGTCTGTGAGTGTGAGGCCTTTGGGAAGAGTTTAATTTTAGCAGCTGTGTAGTCACTAGATCCAACTAGGAGAGGAGAATGTGAGGTGGGATCACTCTTTCTCCTGGAGTTTGCAGTTAAGTCGCATGAAACTTCATCTGCAAGTGCACCCTTAGCAGCCTTTTCTACTTCCTGCCTATCCATTGAATGATACCCAGCTTTATTTTGGAGCCTTGGATTTTCAAGCAAACGTAACATGGTGCTACAATAAATGTTTTGCCAGTGCTGTCTTGGTTCACAGAGCTGATGTTCCTCTGCATCAGAGATTTGGATAGGAAAAGATGCTAAATTAACTTTTTGAGCATGGTTGCTGGTTAATAAATGCACATTTTCACAACAAGCACATGTTTCTAATTGGGCACAACACATTTATATATACATTTGAGTATTTTTTTAAAGTTTATCTTTACTTATGAAATCAAAGAAGTTCCTTCTAGCCAGATGCACGTGAGCTGCTGATCATCTTCATCATGGGGAGCTATTTTCCTATGGATAGCTGGCTTCTAAACCTGGGGAAAAGTTGGATTAATGGAATGGATTGTGAACTGTTTGTAATCTGCCCTGTTTTCCAGATGTTGCCATTGGAGCCCCTAAGGAGGATAACTATGTAGGAGCAGTTTACATTTACCACGGGGACGCCGATGGCATTGTGCCTCAGTACTCCATGGTATGTGCCACTGGGGTTTATGGTGCCTATCTGAAGTCACTTTGCCAGGGCCTGCAGAAATAAACCATGCTCGGGGGTCCCTTTATAGGTAACACCATCATAGCTCTATGTCTTTGTCTCAGTCCTAGTCTGAAGATGGCTTCTCCCAAAGTTTATCCATGTCTATGCTGTAGAGTAAGAGCATATCAGTCAGGAGATGTTTTTCACTGTCTTTTGTTACAGGTATCAGCTGTAGGTCTCTTCTTGGAGCAAACAAAATCTTGGCGTTTGAGTGCCAGGTTTTAGACTTAGTACTGCTGCAGAAGGAGCAGAGAAACCTCTGGAGAGGTTTTCATTTTGGAGAAGCTAGTGGGGAGCCGGGAGGTTGCACTTTCTTCCTGCAGAAGCAGGTGTAGTGAAAAGGAAGAGATACTAAGTGCTCTTTTGTGCCCCTCCAGAAGCCTCATTACCCATCTCTTTGTCCCTTTTCTTGTGATGTGACAATATATCACAAGGCTGTTCTTGGGTGCAGTTCCCCTGACCATTATCATGAAGTATAATCTTGGCTGGGATATGCTGGAACATCTTGTGCAGAGATGACACAGTGCAATTTAGCTACTGTAGCCAGACAGTAGAGAGGGAAATTTATGCTCATGCTGCCCAACATGTGTCCCCTCGTCTCTGTCTAGCACATTTCTCTTTTCAAAGAGCCTGAATCTTCCCTCCCTCCATGTGTTTGAAGTTGTTTTGTTTTGTTGCTGGGTGGGATCCTCCACAGTAAATGAGTTTAGAAGAGAATTAAAGAGTTTAGTGGTTATATTGGAGACTCTTCTAACAGACCATAGAAGTCCAGTCCTCCTTCCTTTTACTATGGCTATGCCATGCACTGCTTTTTAGAAAAAAAAAGAGGTATTTTTTTCACTCTTTTCATTTCCCCCCCTGTTTTCTTCATTTAAATTGCTGATCCATGTTGTGCCCTCACCTCCCTTCAGCAGCTTCAGTGGTGGCTGTGAGCAGAAGCAGCTTAATTGCCTTTGTGGCCTGCTGTTTTCATTCATGGCACTCAAAAGCAGAGCAGCGTTGCACCTCTGCCTTCCAGGCCTTAATAACCTGCAGATGTCCACTGGGATGTTTGCAGGCAGGATTTGCCACCCTAGCTGGGACCCCCAAAAATGTGTAATTTGGGGAGGAAGTTTCTTCTAGTTGTCTTCATCTTACCTGGCCATGAGTAGGAAAAGGTCTGTACACAGCAAAGGACTAATTTCCCTATAAAGTGGCTGTCAGGACTGCAGGATCTCTCTCTTCCCCTCAATTTGACTTTTTTTCCCATGAATTTCCTGCCTGACCTCTTGTCCAATATGACATCCTTTAACGGGAGGGACTGGGACTGAGACAAAGATGTAGAGCTATGATGGTGTTACCTATAAGGGGAAAGCTGGTTGTATGTCACAAGCTGTGAAGCACCACCAACAGCCTCAAAATTACTTGGTGGGATAGTTTTCCTCTGTAACTTCTGCAATCAGATGTGGGTTTGCATTCAGATCTTGCATTGGTGGCCCAGAATAATGAATGAGAGGTGGGAGACATCTGATTGCCTTCTTAGAAAATGAGATTTTGATATATTAATTTGCTTCAGACAAAAACGTTTACAATTCAAAATGTTTAGAGAAAGATTTTGTGTTCATTAAAAAAAAATGTCATTAAAAAAAAGAAACTATGTTAGAAGTTAAATTATTTTTGCATTGGGGGAGGAAGAAACGAAATACAGCTTCCAAACTGACACAAAATACTGCAAAATAGCTGATGGGAACCAGAATTTCCAAGTGGGATGAAAATTAATCATTTTGACTTTGAGTACGCTGGCAAACTTTGTGAAAGGGAATGGTTGTGCAGGGTTTTCTGTTTCAATTAATCATCAGTTTTGCTAAGATGCTGCTTAAAACTTCTATTTACAGAAACAAAGGTAGCACACACAAAAAAATAAATCTCTAGGGTGCAGTTAAACTTCCTCCCCCCTCCCTGAAAACTGTTTGATGTGCTTTTTATTTTGCTTGGGTCTGCATGAGGGTTGTGATGCAGGTGTGGTTTTGAATCCAAGTCACCACTGGCTTCCTCCTAGCCCAGAGCAGAAGGGCTTCCTGCAGTCTGCAGCCTTCCTGCTCAGGGCTGCGTGGGTGAAGTGCAAGCCTGCAGGTGTGCAGCCCTTTTTGGGCTTGTTTTTTGGTTTGGTGGGGGTTCTTTGTGCTACTGGCTGATTTCCCTCGTGTGTTTTCCACTGCAGAAGCTGTCTGGGCAAACAGTAAACCCAAGGCTGCGGATGTTTGGCCAGTCCATATCAGGGGGAGTTGACATGGATGGCAATGGTTATCCAGGTATGTTGGCTGCTCTGGCAGAGAGGGGAAATGCAGCAGCAGGCTGAGAAAACAGCAGAACTGGTCATTTCCAGGTTGCTGGTTCCCACCATGGTGAGAGGCTGAAAAAGCTGAGCATTTTCTTCCCCTTCCCCTCTCTCAGTCAAAGCTCCTGAAAAGAATTTGAGATGATTGCTTAATTCAGCTGTTTGGGCATCCATGACAAAGGATTGAGATATTAAAAGCAGAGGATTTCAGTTGTTAGTTGCTTGGAAGCTGCTTAGTTATGATGGCAATCTTATAAAGCCTTCTGAAGTAGACAATAATAGAACAGTAATAATAAAAATCAAACAGTGAAGTAGGTGAGAAGTAACATCACAGGTCTAATCCTCCAGTTATGATACTTAATGACGTCATGATATCTGATGGCACTGACTGACTTAAGTCAGAAGAATGGTTTCTTTTTAGACTTATTCTCTGTAATTGAGCAACTGATTATGGGAACTGAATTCTGTGCCTCCTTTGTAACTGTCTCAATGTTACAAAAATTTCAGATATGACTGTTGGAGCCTTCTTGTCGGACAATGTGGTACTTTTGAGGTGAGATGAAGTTCTTTTTCATCTGCTTTCCTCCTTTTGTCTGTTTTCTGTTTACATCTTACATCGTCTGAGTCCTTCCCCACCCCAGTTTTCTCCCTAGTTTCTTGTGGTCAGAAGCAGCAAGCTGGATTACTTTTTAAGCAGAACCTTAGATGTGGATGGTGTCAAAGAATGCACCATCTAATTTAAAGCAGCATGGTGAGGGATCACAATATGTAGGAATCCAAGGGCCATGAAGAAAACAAAGGCTTAGAGCTGGAAGGAGATGAATTTTTTTTCTCAGTCCCTCTTTAGGAAAGTTGATCTGAATTTGTAAGAAGGCTTTTTTATTGTTCTTATATTTACATAAAGTAAATAAATGATGATTTAAGGGAATGCACTTGAGCAAAAAGCCAGCTGTGTATGATGCCAGGAGGTAATTTTGCAAGTAGTAATGGGATGCAGGATGAAGTAGGAGTCTTCAGGGAAATGAAATATGGAGTTATTCTCAGTGCACACAGGATTTGGGCTGCTGTTTCAAGCACATGGGTTAAGTGCAATTGCTTGTTTCATCTGATGGGGAGAGGTGTGACAGGTTGGTTCACCAAATTATGCAAGTGGAGAGTTAGAGTAGGACTGGTCTTGAGATGCACAGACCTGGGGAAGAGAATGGGAAGTTGGAATTTTGCCAGTAGCTCTGTTGTTACACTTGTTAATATTTAATAGAAGGATCTTGTCAATACCTAGATGTCATTAGGAGTCACTAGGGACTCCTGCATCTTAATGGAAGATACAGGGATGTGGTGAGACTGGCAAGACAGATGCTGGAGCTGATGTGCCAGCCTGCTTTCTGTTCAAGGCAGGAAAAGCTTGGCTCCATTTCCATTTGAATCAGTTAAACAAAACAAAAAGGGAAGAAATGCTCCTGATGATCAGTGTGGCAGGTGATCAAGTCTTCTGAAGCATTTGCCGTTCCTTCATCATGCACAGAGAGAAAGCCAATTGCTGCTTCTGTGTAGAGGTGTGCCATGCCCCACGTGGGATCTTGCAGCCCCACATCTCCTCCAGAACTGCTAAAAAGAAAGCTGTGCCTTTTCCTCCTGCCTTGTTGTTCCTTGCAGGGAGGGGAAGGCAATCTGAAGGGCTTGCTGTGGTGGTTAGAACAATAAGATGGTGACCTCGGTCCATTACTGATGGACTTTGTGGGCACCTACTGCCAATTTATGTCCCTTTTGCTGTTTGGATTCAGAGGAGGATAAAGAAATCAGCTTTTTTTTTTTTTTTTTTTTCTTCCCCCCCCTCATCCCTCCAGAAGCCTTTGTGGAGTCCTTTGGCCAAAACCAACAAATGGTTTGCCAAGTGATATTAAAGGCTTTGGTGGAAGCCGCGGTGGCTCGGGGCGGATTGTTGGTGTTGTGTTGCTCGCGTGTGTGTAGGGACGTTTGACAGATGCCTGTTGGGTTTTTTCCCAGTGAATAACCAAGTGAGCTAGCATGAAGGAAAAATCACACAGTGCATCATGCTTGGAGAAATATTTTTCTAGATCAGTTAGAGTATTTACTCTTTTACGTCTCCTCAAGCCTTTGGAAAGGTTTTTTTTTTTTTTTCAGAGGTGTGAAATGATCCTAGGAAGCTCACTCTTTTTCCTCCTTTTTTTCTTCCCTGCATTACTGTATATATTTCTAGGGTGAGCCTTTATCTTCATCCACCATCTCAAAATGCAAACTTGCAGTGTTATTTCAGGCTGTGGTAAAAAAAAAAGTCCAAGCAGCTGTCTCGGAGATGGATGTGAGTCTTACTCCAGTCGATATGAATTAGGTGTAACCACAGTCCCCACTCTCTTTTCCCCCCTCTCCCTCACCTCTAAAGTGGCTTGTGGAGTAGGAGTCCTGAAGTGGTTTACTTACGTGGTCTGGCTTTGAATGGCTACTGGGACTCCCTCAGAAGTGAATCTGCTGGTTGCTGCACATTTCTTTCACTATTGGAGTTGGTTTTGGAAAAAACACGTTCATGTTGAACGTGTGTAGAGTTGAAACCATGAAGAATAACACTCGGTGGGTTTCTGGGCTGAAGTCCTGCTCCGGGGATGGCTCAGGGTTTCTGAGCTCCTTTTCCCAACCAAACTGATTGGGCTTCTGTGCTGTGTTGGGTGAGGAGACCCAGCTGGGCCCTGATGGCACTCGGCTTGCTCTGCCATTCTGGCCGAGGTCTTCTTCAGCCAGGAATAGTTGTAGCAATAACCCAGTGCTGGAGCTGTAAGGATAGAAAGCTTTTGTCTACAGTGCACCAAGTAAGTTCTGAAATGGGGCTCAGCAGCATGAAAGAGTGGTCCACCCTTACCACCTGCTGGGAGGGAATTAGTCAAATGTTAGTCTGTATCTGAGCACTGAAATTCAGGCTGCTGTGGTTTTCATTCAGGCTCTAGCAGTCCTTGCTAGCTAGGCCAAGTGCTAATCTATCTTACAGTACAAATGCACTCTTTTGTTTTTCATGTCTACTTGGAATTGTGAAGTTTACAGAATTTATTTTCCTTTGGCTGAGAACGTCCCTCTGAATGATCACCCAATTGCACTTCTCTGTTGATCTCTAGATCCAGGCCTGTCATTACCATGGACATCTCCATTTTCCTGCCTGTGTCCATCAATATCACAGCTCCTCAGTGCCACGATGGCCTGCAGGCAGTGAACTGCCTCAACGTCACAGCATGCTTTCGCTTCGGTGGCAAGCGTGTTCCTGGAGAAATAGGTAAGGGACCTGCACCAGCCCTGCTGGCAGGGTCACCTGGAGTTGGGAGCTGCCTTTGGAGTCAGTAACAGAGCCTTTACTTGAAATAAGCTGTTGTGAGGTGAGCTCACCTATAGAATTCCAGAAATTAAGCTCCCTGGGAGTTTTCTTGGGCACATTTTTACCTTCTGATGAGGCTGATATCGTACTGGGGCAATTTCTTCCTCAGCAAAAGGAGGGAAATGTGGCCTTGGGCTTCTGCAAGGACAGAAAACACAGAAGCAATTGATGCTTCCTAAGTTCATATTAATGGAATCATAGAGTGGTTTGGGTTGGAAGGGACCTTAAAGATCATCTAGTTTCAAAGCCCCTGCCATGGGCAGGGACGCCTCCCACTAGACCAGGCTGTGCAAGGCACCACCCAATCTGGTCTTCAACACATCCAGTGGAGGAGCATCCACAGCTACCCTGGGCAACCTGTTCATTCTGGTGTCTCACCATCCTCATAGTTCTGTATCCATGCCCTCTACTGATGTTAGCAGAAAGCAGATGGGCCTTGCTCTAGGTTAATGGGTTTTGGATGTCTACAAGGAGTTCCTGAAACAGAGCACTATACATTTGAATTCCTACCAGACATGAGGCCAATCCTTTTCTGTGCCTCAGTTTACCTTTCTGTAAAATGATTAGACAGAGCCCAGTGTTTTACTGATAGCAAGAATAACTTCCAGGTTAGTTAGTCTGTAAAATACATGGAGTTGTGTAAGGTGTGTAATTGTGCAAGCCTTGGCACCACTAAAATAAATCCTTTACATCCCAATGTGTATGAGTCTTGGATATTGTGTGAAGTGGTATGAGATAGATATGGAGTTTCTAAACACTGTAAGGGCTGGTTTTATTTAGTTAAACCATGCTGTTTTACCTTTGCCAGGCTGTAGGAGTGGCAGAGGACTAATGTGTTGGTGCAACTGAGACTTCAGTTTATATTTTTCCACTTTTCCCTTCCCTGTAAATGATGACTGTCAGCAGACAAATACATGCTTTGATAAAGTATTTTTTGTTCTGCCTGCCACTCTCTTAGTTAAGAAAACACTTCTCTCTGAGTGCTCCAGGGGTGTTAATTCCTTTCTAAAAATCACTGAATAGATTTTCTGAATATCTATGTTTTCTTATATTCCTGGGAGTACTGTTTAAAATGTTTCCTTTAATTTAATATTTCTGGACCCGTGGCTGGGAAGTAAGCTGCTTTTTTTTCCAATCTAAATATTCTTTTTGTTAGCAAAAGACCTATCTTCCTGTTCATCATGTCTTGTAAGAGCCAGTTGAATTCCCTGTGTTGTCATACAGACTGTACTGCCCATGATTTATTGTGGTGAAAGCACATGTGCATCTTCTTTGGCAAGTAACGTCCATCTCATTGCAAGGAATTTTTTTAATATTAAGTAGATGATTATAAAACTTCCAACCATTGTCCTTTTATACAATGCTTCTAGCAAAGAGATTTGTATTGAAAGCATTGCAGCCAGAACTGTCTGACTGTCTTTAAACCCCCTGGGGGTTATGATTTGGATAAAGTATCTCAAATAAGCTTTCAGTTTATAATCTAATAGTCAGGCCATTTTAATTATGTTGCAGTTGAAGAGATTCAATTAACAAAGGGTGGAACAATTCATGGAAATACTGCAACGATTCCTCTCCTGCATGGTTAAACGTGGGGAAAAAAAATAGAATACCCCTGTAAGTACCTCGTCGTGCAGCTCAGACTCTGAAAGGAGGCATTAAAATGCTGTGTCAGAGCTTTGTGGCTGAAATGTGTTGGGTTTGTCTCGTCTTTGGATGTCTGGGGGTGGTCTGTTAAGGCACTGGGTGAGAACAACAGTGCTGCTTACTGGTGAAAAACTGGGTGTTGCTTTTGCTTTTGTGCAGCTGAAGGTGCTCACCTGTTACACAACAGCTACAAAGCCAAGCTGAACATGGCTTCTATGGCCCATGTGTGTCTTCAGTGCTTATGGGAACGTGTGGTTATTTGGTGAGCTGGCATGTGAAGGAAAGTTGTCTTCATCTAGCACTGCCTCATGTAAACCTTCCCCACCCTCCTTTGTTTCCGCGGGGTGGTTGCAATACTGCTGGTCGTGTAACAGCTGTCTGAGGATCTGTACTTGTCCATGCTGCCAGTGACAGTGGAATTCCCACCCGTTTTGTGGATACTCTTTGCAGACTATGGTCTTCAGAAGTATGAATTTATGGCCAAAATGTCTTCTTCTGAACAAAGAGCCACTGTGTGCCAGGCATTGTCTGACCCTTCGCTCTGCCGCCGCGCTTGCTGGAGGGCTGAGCTTCTAGTTGGGTGCCCACCAACAGAGACAGCCTCTGGTACCTCTTGGATGTGTGAGAGATACAGCATTTTAAGTTTTCTCCCTTTCTTTCATCTCAGAATGTCACTCGAGCTGTTCCTCTCTCACTTGAGGGGCCATTACTTTGTCTCCCCTGAGTTCTCTATCTGCAGGAGAGGCAGGGATGAGAGAAGGGCCTTTCCCAGCCTGGATGGGCAGGCTTCAGGCTCTTCAGACCATCTTCAGAGCACCCTCCTGAGTGAGCAGGACAAACAAAGAGAAGCTGCTGGCATCTCTGTGCATCGAGCACTGCTTCAGCATTCATCCCTGCAGGGGAGTGGAGGCAACCTTGTGCCCACTCTCTGGATAATTTCCTATACAATTGTAGCAACAATGACAATGATAGTGCCAGTGTGAGAATTAGGTGAATTTTAGTGGCTATGAAAATGAAGGGTTTGGGGCATTTGGCTAGAGTTAGGCAGGTGTGCTAGAAACTGAGCTTCTCCTGTACTCTTCACTTCAGCTGTACGTGGCTTGTGTGTTGATCCATATCTAGGGTGGTCCTTCTGTCCCAAATACTGTCACCTGGAAGACTAGTGTGAGATTTCAGGTGGGATAGTAGGCTGGTTGGTATTTTTCACTCTCTAGGACTGAAAGAAACATGCCTGATCCAAAACCTGATGAAAGTGGACACTCCTCTTCCAGCTCTAGTTTGGTACAGGAGCATTATTTCTGTCTGTGTTCCTTTTGGGAATAGGATGGGGGTAATGTCCTGTGTATGTTTCATTTGCTAAGGCATTTTTTTTTAATACTTTTGTTACTTTGATATTTTGTCTGCAAGGAAAGTTCATGAATCATTTTCTCCTCATAATTACTGGTGGAGACAGCAAAGAAACACATTCCTCTTCCAGTGGCTTTTTGTTACTCTTTAGTAAACTCTTCATTTTCTCCATGTAGTGCCTGCCCTCCCTCCCCGTGAATCAGTACTATAAGTAGTAGTGATTCCCATTTTAGCTCACAGGATACCACTGCCTGATTTCAACAAAGAAACGCATTCCTCTTCCCGTGGCTTTTTGTTACTCCTTAGTAAACTCTTCATTTTCTCATGTAGTGCCTGCCCTCCCTCCCCATGAATCAGTACTATAAGTAGTAGTGATTCCCATTTTAGCTCACAGGATACCACTGCCTGATTTCAATCCCTTCTCACTCCTCTCTGGTTCAAGGGCTGCCTTCAGCCCTGTGAGGGGATGTCTCTTGTGTCACGAGTACCTGTGTACCACTTAGGATGAATAATCCATGATAAAATGCCTGCTGCTGTTCACTTGGTGCATCTGTTACTGGTTGGAGGAGCTCTCCTGGTTTGCTGGCTGGTACACCTGCTTTTGTAGGTATGACCCAAAATTTCTCAGAGGGAGTGATTATGAAGCTCTTAAGCATTTAACTTTAGCTATGGAGAAGGAGTAATCATTAGAAGAATCAGGCTCATCATCTGAGCTTGTTAAATTCATGCTGGAGTTTTTTTTTGGCTGTATGAAGTTGGGTGGGCAGACCCCCCAAAACATTTCTCACCCAATGTGTTTAAAGCTGCTGGATAAATATTTGAAGGCATTACCTGGAAGAGTTAATTTGCTATTGAAAACTTGCCTCCTGATCTACTGGAGCGAGCCAGAGGAACTTACACCAGCAGCAGCACTAGGTTTGGCCAGTTATCTCCCCACCCTGGTTGCTTTTTGAAAGAAGTGAAGCTGCAGAGGGGGAAAAAAATAAAAAGAACCTTACTCATGATATTTCAGTTTTTCCACTGATGTGACATCATTGGATATAACATAGAAACAAGTTGTCAAAATAAAGGGGGGGTGGGGTGGAGGACGGGAACTGTGCTGCTTGATGGAAAACATCCACTGCTGTTCCGGAGCTGGGATCTGCTGCTCGGAGCTCTGGGACGGGGCTCGCCTTGGGCTGCGCCTGCAGCGAGGGATCATTCCATGGCAGGGGTCTCCTGCTGCCTTCAGAGAGCCTCCCAGCACCCCCAGGCACCCCTGCAAGCCCTGCAGTCCTGCCTGGGGTGCTGTCTCCCCACGGGGCTTCTTGCCTCTGCCTACGCAGGGCTTGGGTTTGCCGATGGGTTTTCTTCCCTTTCTTCTTGGGTGAAGATCTCAGCGTCTGTGCGTCCATGTGAGGTCTTGAAAGCAGGAAGGAGATGACTGAGGATGGGTGTGGGGTGTGCAGACTTTAAAAAAGGGGAAAAAAAGTTGAGGAAGAGATTGCAGGGATTTTGAACTCCGAGTTTCTGCCTAGGTGGTGCGCTTCAGTAGGAGAGAGCAAACACCAGTGAGAGTTTTTGGTGCTGGGCTTGTCAGAGTTTGAAACACTTACAAGGCATTGTTCTAAGCAAGTTATTCTGCCAAAAGCGAGCAAAAAAAAATGTTCAGGTGGAGCCCTGGGGTTGTAGTTAGGCTGACTCCTCAGCCGTGGCTTTTCTTACTGCCCCAGGGAATGTCTGTGGCTGCTCTGCATGAGCTTCTCATCAGAATGCAACACGCTGCAAATGGACGTGAAGAATACACTTGGGATCATGTGAATTATGAATATTCAGAGACTTCTGCACCAAGCTTCACAATATCATGAAATCAATTCTTCAAAGTGGTCAGATTTTGGTGGAGGAATGATTGGAGGTGATAGCATTGACTGTAGTGTTAATTTAGAGAGAGAAGGATTTTAAATCGTGAAAAAAACCCTCACAGCACCACAAAACCAAATAAAACCACAATGAAACCCAGCAAAGACCCTTTGCTGTAGTTCAGTGTAGAAGACCTCAGTCCAGTAATGTGTTACATTTACAGTGTTTATAAAATTCTGGCATTCAAAAAGTTTACATTTATAGGGAGAATATTATCTGGCATCAATCATTTAAGACTTAAAACATAAATAAAAGCCAGAGCAATAATTTGGCGAGCACAGGATGTATGTAACAAATCAGCACAGGAGCTGGTGCTGGCTCTTGTTAATGAAGATTATCAACTAATTAAGCCATTTATAGTGAGCCAATCTCATGGTATTCCCATTATTGCCTTGATAGGAGCTGAAATCAGTACAGGCTGTGGTGTGTGATGAGGTGTGGACCTCACAGCCAGGGTCTCCCTTCTCTGAAGACAGCAGCAGAACAAGTGTTCATATTTCTGCTGCAGTTCCATGGCTCCTGTTGCATTTAGCAACAGCAAAGGTATAGGCAGCTTGGATTTTTCAATCACTGTACAGCCACTTCAGGTAACAAATGAGTTTTCTTTTAGGCACAGATACATCCAAGTCACAAACCAACCAACTCTAAGCTGCCTATCCTGTAGAAGAGCAGAAAACAGGATTTACAGAGATACAACTCATTAGTCTTCTATAAGCTGGCCAGGATGTGTAACATCTAAGAGGGGGATGCTGAATGCAAGGCAGGGACCTATAGTGAAGGTCTACATGCTTAGATGACTGCAGATCCTCCAAAATAATTGTCAGGAAGTGCCAGGTCCTGTTTGACATTTGCATAGTTTGTGCAGTTCTAGAAAGAAAACAAAGCTGGAGGCTGCTGCTGTTGTTGTTTGTGTTGTGTTTTTGCTTTTTTTCTGTTAGCAACATAGTTTAAGCATCTTTTGTTTCTTTTTTTTCTTTTTTTTTTTTCCTATTAAGTGTGTGTGTCTAGATGTATTTTTACACATTTCCTTTGGGAAAGGATGGGCTGGGGAATGTAGTGACAAGAAACCTGGGAGTACATTAGTAATTGGATTTGGTTTTGTGCAGTTACAGGAAACACAGTGATTGATTGAGGGCCTGCAAGGGTTGACCTTTCTTCAGGCACACATGCCCTGAAGGCAACAGGATCCATAGATAGGTGGCTAGAAAATAACCATTGTTCACTGACATCCTTTGTTTTCTTCTTCTTCCTTTTTAAAACAGGTTTGAATTATAACTTGACTGCTGATGTGGCAAAGAAGGAAAAGAGCCAGCAACCCAGAGTTTACTTTGTGACTTCTGGAGAGACAACGGGGCAGATCACAGAGAAGTTACAACTGTCATACATGCAGGAAAAGTGTGAGCATTACCTGGCGTACGTCAAGGTCAGTTCACTCCTGTCCATGCTTACATTGGCCTCGCTGCAATTCTGCTCTTCCTTTTCAAATATGCAGCCAGCTCAAGTGGTGCTGCTTGGCTGCAGAGGTTCTGTGTTTTCCTGACAGGTGGATGAAGTTTTTTTTTTGGGTGGAAACTCAGAACTTCTCACTCGGTGTGATTTGTCAGTCTGAGCATCATGGAGCCTTCAAGGCCTGGTGCCAGGAATCTGTATTTTATTTGCTTTTGATCAGGTGCATTTGCAGGAGATTCCTTTCTTCTTTTGGCTTGGTTTGTTGCTGTACTTGTTAAAATAAGGAGGCAAGGTTTTGTTTTGGCAGGAGCAGCAGGTTTAGTGTTTGGGTTTGTAAAAGGTCTGACTGCATGAGGGGGCTGGTGATGCAGTCTGTGTGGAAACTGCAGGATAATGTGAGGGCTATCCTGAAGCACTTGGGCTCTTGGGTTTGAAGAGCCCCTGGATTTCATCTGGACTTGCAAATAATGGTGGGATAACTTTGTTTCACATCTGTCTTAGTTCTAGGGATACAGAGAGTGTTTTCCATACATGCAGGGCCATAGAAAAGGTCTGTTCTTCCTGTGACAGACTCTTCATACCGGGTCTGCTAGGGCTGTAGGTAGCTTTGCTGGGCAGCTGTTGGTGAGGAAGTGTCACCCAGGTACCATTCTGTTTGCTGAGTAAGCACAACAGTTTTCTTCTCAGCTAAGACGTTTATAGAATGGATTTTAAAATTATATAGGCAGGAGATTTATCTTTCAAACCACGTGTCTCTCAAGCACTAAGCTGTGATTACCAGTCCAGTGGGAAGTGTGGCTGTGTGGTGAATTGCATAGCCTGCTTACTGAAGGATGTATGTGTGACCTAACTTCAGTAGATATCACTTGCCACTGTCTTGTTTTGAGAATCTAGCAGGTCCAGACATCCCTAAACGTATAAACTTTTTCCAGGAGGCTTCTTTGTACCTAAAAATTGGTGAGAACGGGAGATAAAACTCATCCTTTAACTTTATCAACATTTTGTGCATGGCTGTTGAGAGAAAATAAAACAAATAAAAGGACCACCAAGGAGGAACCCCTGTTCTGTTGGATTGTGTGGGTCTCTTGGAAGAGACTGGACAACTTTGGTGATTTCTTTGTTTCTGGAACAGCCTTTGCTTTCTGTTGTGGAGAAGCTTGTTAGAGAAAATGTAGACCTATGAGATTATCGTTACTCAGAAAATATAGCTGTGAGTTGACTAATTCTGCTCTTTCTCAAATGAGCACATCTGGTTAGGCTTTACTGTGTTGAGTTTGGATGAAAAGGAGCCAAATGCTTTTCTATCTCAACCCAATAACGATTTCCTTCACACTAGCCCCGTTGCAGTTTTTGGGTATGACACAGGATTCATTAAAGAGCTACATATGCCCAGGAAACTACTTAATTTATTGTAGCATTTCTGGTTGATGTTGAGAATGCAAAGTTAAGAACTATTTTCCCGGAAAATTCCTGGGAAATTTGATTTTTATAGCCAAGAGAAATGTTTAAGCGTGTTTAAAAATACCAGCAACTTAAAGCAAAACATCTGGTTAACAAGCAAGGCTACTGGCTTTCTGTGTGATATAAGCAGCTATTTTTCACAGTTGGAAGAATAGCAGGAAGTGTCATTTGTTCATGTAAGGGAGAATGCAAAGTAGTGGAGAAAGATAATCCCTGTGCTTTCATGGGAAAGGTGATATGATCCACGGGGCTACGTGACATTAGAAACATCAAAGGGAGCCCTGCAAACTCTGGAGGCATGGAAATAAGGTCGTGATCTTTCACTGGTATCCTTAAGTAACAGTTAGCTGAACAAAAACCCTGAAAAACAAAAAAATCCTTCCTCAAACTCCAACTGGAAATCTTGATTGCAGAGTTTTGTGATGGAATGGGTGATAAATGATTTGGGCTTAAAATATATGAAATATTTCACTTAGGCTTTCTTCCTTCTTTTTATTTTACTGTATGCCTGATGAATTCACCTCTGTGGCAAACTGGGCTGTTTGCAGTTGCATCCTTAATGTCTTCACTACATAATTTTTCATTTGAATCCTTGCTGACAAATAGACTTATATGGTCACATCAGACCTTGCTGGATGATGTTGTCTTACCAACGTGTAGTTGTAGCATGTTGGAGAAAAATCCTGGAAAAACTGTACTTTTAGAAGCAGTGGAGTCACCTTCCATGGAGGGATTTAAAAGACATGTAGATGTGGTGCTGAGGGACATGGTTTAGTGGTGACCTGGCAGTGCTGGGTTGACGGTTGGACTTGATGGTCTTGAAGTTTTCTTCCAGCTGGAATGATCCTTGAAGTTTTCTTCCAACTGGAATGATCCTCTGGTTTGTTCTCAAGAGACCCCAGTGAAACTGAGCACTGAAAGAGCTGCAGACTGCAAATAAACTGTCAGGGTTAATATTAAATTGTTTTGCAGTTGAGAAGTCTCAGTGTTTTACACTGAGTGTGAGTCCTTTCCTATTTGTGGTCCCTTCTCAGGAGCTACTGCTCTTATTGCTGCTAATGTATTTTAAAAGTCTGTCTTTATAACTGTGTGATTGAGATAAATGGCCCTTGGAAGGTTGGTAGGATGTGTGTAGCTCAGAATTTGATCTTGTACAAGTCAGGCTACTGGATTAAAGTTCAAGTTGCTGGAGTTATGGTCATCCATGAGAAAATGTGTTTTTCTGGTTGAGAACAAAGAATGAAAGGGAAATGCTTTGGGGCTTCAGAGTGCTTTGAGGTTTGGTTCTGTAGCAGGCATGAGGAGTAGGGGAAAGATGCAGTTTTCTGATTTTTTTTTTTTTTCTTTTTCCCTCCATCTCCATTGGAACCCGTTTGATGATTTCTCATGAAGAAACATCCTTTAATATACCTAGACAGTAATTCCAATACACACAGAACCTCAGGGGTCATCTGCAAAAGCCACTTTTGTTTTCATTTAAACAGCCTTTGGAGGCTTCACTGCTGCGTTCAGTAGGTGAACTGGTGCAAGTGGCCATTAATTGAGAAGTTAATGAGGACATAAATACTTTACATGGTGACCTTCTGCCAGTTTTGCTGGAGGAAGAAGCAGCAGAAGTTTAAACTGGATTAACTTTTCTGAATGGGTTTGTTTTTTGGTAGAAGGCACGGCAAACATAAATGTGAAAAAATGGAATATGGTACTAAAAGGAGAAGGAGCAGAGGTGCAGAAGCAGAAAAGGTGAAGAAAATAAATGGGTTTGGAAGCTTTACAATTATCACCTTAATATCTGGGCCTGCACCTGAGATGTAACCTTTTTTCTTGGGAACTGCACTCCTCTGATGGTGCTCAGAAGACTGGAGCTGTGTGTTTAAGGCATGATGTGATCAGGGCATCAGCTCAGAGAAAATGTTGTTTCCATGTTCACTAACTTCCCTTGGTTGTCTCCTGCTTATGTGGAGGCTCCCCTAACATTTAGGATAGATTTCCCTGTGGATTGGACAAGAGAATTTGATGCAGTGAGCAAAGCACGTTGTGCCTGCAGGTTGACGTGGGGTCACATCTCATCTTTGATTTATCATAAAGGTGTAACAGTGGTGATGGGGAAAGCTCCTTGTACAAATCCTGTATTCATTGTAGAACCACCATCTGGTTTCTTACCCCACCGTGGGCCAGGCAGCTGGGCTGCCTGTTGCTACCAGTCACTGCTGTAGTTGTAGCTACAATGTTGTAGTAACTTCAGACACCATCAGCAGTCCTGGCACATGATTAAACCAGACACAGCATTTATGTTTTCCAGAGATCATTATCTTAGTGACTGTCTGGTTGTTTTAAGCTGTCTCTTGTTGCTCATCATATTAACTCTTAATGGATCTGGTTTGTGATCATGGGAAGGATGGGGCTGAGAAGCAACAGAGGAGCAGTGTTATCAAGGGCTTTTCATAATGGTGTGTATCTGAGGAGCTTCTGCAGGCAGGTTTGGAATAAAATGCTGGGTTTTTTTTTCAACAGAAATTGCACAGCTATGTTTTGTTTGCTGTTCAATTCTGTAGCCAAGAATTTGCCTTTTTCATAAGTACATTTCTGGCCTTTGTCTGCTGTGCATCACTCTTACCTCGGGGCTCTGAAGATACTCTGGGCTGCTCATCTCACACGACTTCATCTCTAGTGCTGGCCAATTTTAGTCACTGTCTGTGGCTGTGATTGTTTTTCCTTCTGTAGCCGTTTGATCTCATCTGAAGGGGATGCATGTAATAAAGCCTTTTATTCATCCACAGTGAAGCCTTTTCTTCATCCATAGTAATCTGTTTTTTCTAGAGTTTGAGTAGCAAAGCATTCAGATGCACCGTCACAGGTGATGTAGAGGTGGTACCATTTTCATCATTTGCATGATGAGCTTTCTTCTGAAAGTTGTCCATCTGTGAGCTAGCATCTCTATGTTAAAGTTTGGCTGGTGGTATTACAGGATCAAGAGAAGCAGATGGAGACACTCAAGAGCTTATTATGAAGTTTTGGGGTGTGTGTGGGTGGGTTGGGTTGGTTTGGTTTTATGTGGTGGTTGGGGTTTTCTTTTGTTTTCTTTTTAATGGGGCTTGTTTCTCCCCTACTGTCAACACAGAGCCCTTTTGAGAGGCAGGTTTCTCTGCAGATCTTGTTGCTGGAGCACTCAAATAAAGTTTGATGGCTCCAGGCTGAGCCTGGTTGCTCCCATTTGGCACAGCCTTTTCTGGGATGCTGGTGCTGGATCGTATATTGGATGTGGACCATAAGCATTGCTTTGTGGAGGAAGAGGTGAAAACCAGTCCCTCAGCTCCTCTTGGTAGAGACACATCTGCTCCTGCTCACCTCTCCCTGGGGAGCAGAGAAAACAGAGCAAGTCAGGGGACAACACTTGAACCAGAGGCTGCTTTCACAGCAGCATCAGCTATGAAAACTTAGTCATGGTTCTCTAGAATTTCACAGGGTTTGGAGCAGGGGGCAGACAGAGGGAGTGGTGACCTGTTCCAGCCTGCA